GATGTCGAGGCTGGGGTTCGACAAGCACATCGCTGAACGACGGAAGACACGACCAGCCACAGTAGAGTGCGGGTCATTGAAGTTCTCACGGTCTGTTGCGGTGCCCACTATGGTTGCATGCCACTGGTGAGACCGCAAACCGGTGCACTTCCTGGCCACTGGGGTGTCAATGGCCGAAGATACCATCAAGAGAAACCTGAAGGTGGTGGGGCAGACGACGTTCAGCTGTCCTAAATTGGTGACCGATTAGTAGCGCTGGATGGGCGGCGTTGACGTGCACGATCAACACCGCCTCCAAACGTTCTCTGTCCAGACTTCTTTTAGGTTCCGAAAGTATTATAAGGGCCTATTCTTAGGTCTTTTTGACCTAGCGCTTGTCAAAGCTTACCTGACACACAAGGAGGCCTGTCGCATTGACGATGTCGCCCCTATGAAGCGCGTGGACTGGTACAAGATGCCGCACAAGCAGCTCACGCAGCTCACCGACGACGACGTTAAAATAGCAGCGCCCAAGCGTCGCCGCAACACGTATCACGTCCACAAGCAGCTGGATGACTGGGTGATCGTTTCGGGCGTTCAGAAGCGGCGCCAGCGCTCCTGCAAGGTGTGCTCTCTGTATCGAGGTGAGCAGAAGAAAAGCTACCAGACTACTTACTACTGCGAAGACTGCTCGCAGGGTGATGCAAAGTGCTTCCTCTGTCCCAAGGCACGTAGAGGTACGGATACAACGTGTTTTCAAGTGTGGCACGACGACTTCGAGTGTGGCGCGTCAATTACGAGTCACCTGGGTAAGCGTGTCATTCTGCGCCGTGCCCCCAAGGCCGCTGGATACGAAAGAACACTCGCCGGGAAATCCTGGTTGAGGAGAAAGAAGAGATATTGTGGGTCTTTCGTACCGTTTTATCAATGCTAATGCATTTCGTTGAGTTTCATTTGATTGCTGTGCTGTGTAGCTCCGGTTATAGCTGTGTTTGTGGGTTGTAAGCCCGATCATATAAGATCGGCTACGTTGTATCTGCGAACTTGTAAGCTAGCGATGCTGAGGTACGTCATGAGTGTTAC